TAGGATATGATTTAAAAAAATGTATATTATTTTAAGGTTGTGGATTTTTTAAAGAATATTTGTTCAAGGTCCATTTTTTTGGGGTTCATAAAGGGAGTGGATTTTTTTAAGAATACTTTTTTCCTTGGTCTATAGTAGGCGCGGATTTTTTAAAGAATATATTTTCGAGGCCTATATAAGGCGTGGATTTATTAAAGAGTATTTTTTCAGGGTCCACAAAAGGCGTGGATTTATTAAAAATATTTTTTCAGGGTCCACAAAAGACGTTGATTTATTAAAAAATATTTTTGTCAGGGTCCACAAAAGGTGTGGATTTATTAAAGAATATTTTTTCAGGGTCCACACAAGGCGTGGATTTATTAAAGAATATTTTTCAGGGTCCACACAAGGCGTGGATTTATTAAAGAATATTTTTTCAGGGTCCACACAAGGCGTGGATTTATTAAAGAAATTTTTTTTTTCAGGTTCATAGAAGAAGTGGATTTTTTAAAGAATTTTTTTCTAGATTCATAGAAGACGTGGTTTTATTAAAGAATATTTTTACGGAGTCCATATAGGCGTGGATTTTTAAGGAATATTTTTACAGAGTCCATATAGGCGTGGATTTTTAATGAATATTTTTACGGAGTCCATATAGGCGTGGATTTTTAAAGAATATTTTTACGGAGTCCATATAGGCGTGGATTTTTAAAGAATATTTTTACGGAGTCCATATAGGCGTGGATTTTTAAAGAATATTTTTACGGAGTCCATATAAGATGTGCATTTTTATACCCTACACAACTATGTTGTCAGGGTATTATAGTTTTGTGCAGCCCCAAAAGTTTGTAACGCCGAGAAATATTGGTCCTAGACCCACCTTTAAGTATACCGATGGTTATATCATGACTAGCTGAGTCGATCTAGACATGTGTGTCCGTCCGTCCGTCTGTCCATTATAATTTGTAAACACGATACAGGCCACAGTAATGGACCAATCTTCACGAAATTTTGCATGTATGATGGGTTCTGGCCAATGAAGACCCCTATTGTTTTTAACAGCTCGGTAAAGATCGGTTAATGTTTAGGGGATGAAATGGACCAAATACCTAATTGTTGTCGGTTTCTATGGTCAATCCAGAGGCCGCAATTATAGCCCAAACATCGCGAATTTTTGCATGGAGAAGGGGATTGGGCCAAAGAACAAACATGACATGACAAAACTTGTACTCTATATCGTATATATTTACTCCTGAAGGACATAAAGCCGAGAACTTGATAGTATATCCAAGAGGAGTAATTAGAAGGACTGTACTGAATATCAGTAATATTTGTTGACCTCCAGTCGGTCAAGAGGGTAAAAATATCGCGAAATATTGCCCAAGCTCAGAATATAGAAAGTTAGATTTCCGTATAACTTGTGTAGGGTATCAAATGGTCGGCTCCGTCCGACTATACTGCTCCGCTCACTGGTTAAATATATTCTTGGCTTTAAAATTGTGATTTTTTTCAAAGAATCAAGAATATTTTTAACGTATATTTTTCCTAGTAAAAAACACTACAGGGAAGTAGACAAAAAAGGCATTACTTCGAATGAAAACAATACAACCACCTGTTATTCTATTCTCACACCATTTTTTTCGCCTTCTAAAAGTGACAATACACCAGATGTTCGCTGAGGGTGATAAAATAGCATGGGCCTCGTTGAATTAAATACTTCAACATTTACTTATACATGTACATATGTTTATAGAATATAGTATGTATGTCAGTTGTATACAATTTGGGATTCTAAATAAGTATACATACTACGTATATATGTATTAACATCTGCTATATATACCACAACCAAAAATGTTTAGTTGTTGTTATTTTTTGGTATTTTGTTTTGATTTTTATATTTTGGCGGATTCGACTGTCTTCTATACTCTCGTGCTACGAAAAAAGCAACAACAACAAAAGCAATAAAAAATACGAGCAGACAAAAAAGTGTGTGCGAATATATGTACTTCATACTATATATATATATATGGACATCACTTAACAATTCAACGGCAGCGATGCTGATGATGATGAAGATGTCGCCCATTTGGGGTTCAGGGGCATTTGGTTAAAGTGTGAAAAATATTAAAGGGGGCTTGGTGTGTTTTCGTTTTTATTTTTTTGCGAACAAAATATTTATTTACGCGTCTGAAAAACAACAACAAAATATAATAATATTTTTTTGTTGCAACATATATTAAAAAATATATAAAATATTTGTTTATATGTTTACTATTTAGCCAAGAAATTAGTTATTAAGAATATTTTTTTTAGGATATTTCGTAGAGGCCTATTATTGGTCTGGAATTGCAAAGAATATTTTCTCAGGCTCTACATGAGGCTTGAATTTGTTAAAAAATATTTTTTCAAGATTTAAATGAGGCGTAGATTAAAAAAATAGGCTCTAGAAGAATATTTTCAGGCTCTGCAAGAGGCATGGATTTTTTTAATGAATAATTTTTAGGCTGTGGGCGAGGCGTCGATTTGGTAAAGAATATTTTTTCAGAGACCTACACTGACGTACACTTTTGTAAGAAAAGTGTTCATGCTCTAGATGAGGCGAGGACTTTCTAAAGAATACTTTTTTAAGGATTTTTTTTGGTCTACACAAGGCGTGGATTTTTTTAAAGAATATTTTTTCGGAGTATATATGAGGAGTGGATTTTTTTTAAATATTTTTTTCAGGCTCTATATGAGGCGTGGATTCTTTAAAGATTATTTTTTCAGGGTCAATATGAGACGTGGATTTTTTAAAGATTATTGTTTCAGGTTCTATATCAGGCGTTGATTTTTTTAAAGAATATTTCTTCAGGGTCAATATGAGGCGTGGATTCCTTAAAGAATATTTTCTCAGGGTCTATATAAGGCGTGGATTCTTTAAATAATATTTTCTCAGGGTCTATGTAAGGTGTGGATTCTTTAAAGAATATTTTTTCAGGGTCAATATGAGGCGTGGATGTTTTGAAGAATATTTTTTCAGGGTCAATATGAGGCGTGAATTCCTTAAAGAATTTTTTTTTCAGGGTCAATATGAGGTGTGGATGTTTTGAAGAATATTTTGTTGAGGGTCAATATGAGACGTGGATTTTTTAAAGAATATTTTTTGGAGTTTATATGAGGCGATGCTTTTTTAACGAATAATTTTCAGGCTCTAGTTAAGCCTGAGGCGTGGATACCTTAAAGAATATTTCTTTCAGGCTCTAGTTAAGCCTGAGTGGATGCGTGGATTCCTTAAAGAATATTTTTTCAGGCTCTAGTTAAGCCTGAGTGGATGCGTGGATTCCTTAAAGAATATTTTTTTTAGGCTCTAGTTAAGCCTGAGGCGTGGATTCCTTAAAGAATATTTTTTCAGGCTCTAGTTAAGCCTGAGGCGTGGATTAAGAATAATTTTTCGGAGTCTGTATAAGTCGTGGATTCCCTAAAGAATATTTTTTCAGGCTCTAGTTAAGCCTGAGGCGTGGACTCCTTAGAAAAGTATTTTTTCAGGCTCTGTATGAGACGTGGATTTTTTAAAGAATATTTTTCAGGGTCTGGCTGAGGCATGAGTTTTCAAATAATATTTTTTGAGGGTCTAGCTGAGTAGTGAATTTTTAAGGAATATTTTTTTAGGCTCTGGCTGAGGCGTAATTTTTTTAAAGAATATTTTTTTGGACTCTAGACGAGGAACTATTTGTATAAATTAATTTTTTTAACATATATGCATGTGTGAATGTGTCTGCTTATATGTGTATCTCCATGATTGACATTTATGTGTGATTTTTTTTTTTTGTTCAATTGTCTTGCCTCTTTTTTTTGGTTTCCTCAAGTGCCAGTGGCCAGTGTGAAATATGATCTGAACTTTGTTAATTGTTTATATAAATTGTCCAAGGCATTGATTTATTTTGTTGCTGTTGTTGTATTTTTGTTTTTAATGTTTGTTCACCTCATAAATTTCATTTTGTAATATCCACACTCATCATTCTTATCGTTCAGCAACTTAAGATAAGAAGACATGAAATGATTGCATTCAAAAGGTGAGGAGAAAAAACTCTTCCCCTCTACTTCCCTCCACTGTCCCTCTTAGTTTTTTTAATGCATTTCTAAGTACCTTGAACGTAATTCCAAATATGTTGACATAGTTCCAATATTGTTTTGTTTTTTTGATGTTGTTGTTGCTGCTATTGTAATCGTCACCTATATATACGTCACCTATACATAAATTGTTGTGGTGATAAGGGGTGCAGGGTATTTAGATAAAACAAATGTTGTACCTCCTACCATAAAGAAATTTGTATTTTGCCTACAAAAAAAAAAAAAGAAAACCTCTGGGTCTGGCTGTGTTGGACAACAAAAGACGCAAAAGACCTTGGCGGCCAGTTCGCTAGCTAGTGTTTGTTGGTGTTCATGGCGTTGTTGTTGTTGCACGTTTTTGAAGTGTTATATTTTATGTGCCAAATGAGTCTGTGATTTTATTGTTGTTTGTTTTTTTCTGTTTTGAGAGAATGCACTTTAACAAATGGCGCATTTAGAAATAGGGGAAATGTATGGTTTTTTACATCATTCAGTGGCATTGCTTTAAATGCTTACAAGGACCACATGATTGGATTTAATTTTTTGAAGCTTGAATTTATTTACGATATTTTTTCCACCTATGCGTACTTTTCAGTTATAAAAAAAAAATAATTCGTATAAATCATACGCCCTGGTAGACGTAATTAATTCTATTAATAATCATCATACGTATTGGTGTCCAAATATTAATATTAGTTATACGCCACCAAGTCGTGATAGAAATGAAGTGTTCATCATTGGAACCGAATTGAAAATACTTAGCTACGCTTAAAAAATTGACAACGGGCCTTTCAGGTCCTACTTTGAGGTTATTTAAATCACAAATAAATGGTCTCAAAGCTTCCTATTTCTAATTTTTTTCTCAATAGATTTCTTATAAATATTCATTCCATATTTTTTATGAATAAAGATTTGTTTCTTCTTCTTACCTGTTCAATTTCCATCAAAGTCACCTTCATTTTTTGTAATTTCTGTTCGGAATCCATGCCACCGCTAACTTTCAGGCCTAATGCTGACATTGGATCAGTTTTCAGCTCATGACGTTCTTTGCGCAGCTTACTTAGCTCCGATAGGATATTTTTCATATACTTATCATTCAAGCGATCAGCCTGAGATGGTTTATATCCCGACTTCTGTTCATATGAATCTTCAAGTTGACCCAGTTTTTTCTTTAGCGCCGTCACCCGTTTATTTATTTGACGCATACGTTCCTCGGGCGACTGGAAAGACATTACATTCGGCAATACCTGTTGCATTAGCTCACGTGTCTTCAAATTTTCCAATGTGGTAAATGCACGGAAATTGGTGAGAGATGGATCCATGACATCATCATCATCCAATTCATTGGCCAGTAGCTGGGCTGCACTGGGTGTTTGTTTGAGATAAGGTTGAGGATAGGGTTTAACCTTCGACAGCTTGGCTGCAGTGTCAATGCTGTCAACATAATGGGGCCTAACGGTGGCGTAGCGACGACTCAAGACAGGCGTTTGGTCTTCGGGCACGGAACGATCCCATGGCAGTGATTCCTGTGCTGAGATGGTATGGGGAACTTTGTGTAGACTGCTTTGACTGCTGCTCTTGCTGCTGTTGGCCGAGGATGCGGACACGGATGATGTGGCTGGTGTTGTGTTGGATTTTTGTAAGGCCACAGGTGTCACATTGACATTGTTATGAACATCATCTGTGGAACCATTCGATGAAGCCGTTGGCGATAGACTTTTACTCATAGATTGTTGTTTGTTGCCGGTCGACATAATCGCCGCCGCGCTATTGAAATCAATCAAATTATTGTCATTCAAGTCGTTGGTGTGACTCTTCTCCATTGTTTGTGGTTGGGGTTGTTGGTTTTGGCTGGATTTCTTCGAGATGAAACCACGCCTCTCATATTTCAGGGCTGACAAATCGTATTTGTAGACATTCTCATCGTTCAGCTTGGAAGGCAAATATTTCATGGCACTGGTGGAACTGGTGGATTTCTTCGTGACCCCAGACGCCTTGCGTCCTGGTGGGGCCCGCGACTTGCAAAAACGCTCACTGCTGCGCCTGCGTTCATGTTCACACTCGCTATCATCGCTGTCACGATGCTGTTGCGACTTATTGCTGCTGCCATTGCCATTACTGAAGCACACCCTGATGGGTGAATGTCTCTGCGAACGGGCTGGACTTGTCTCATAACGTGAGCGCCGTGTCATATCCTTAATGGGTACACCCACAGTCCAGGCCTGTTGTTGATTGTATTGGCGATTAGCCAAACTGCCATCATTCTCATCGGAAGTTTTGTGACCCAGAGCGTTATCCCTTTCCCCGGAATCGCTGCGAAGTTCCTGTTCATAGACTTCGTAGGGGGTGCGCTTGAAATCTTCCGATGAGACACGCCTAATATTTTCTACATTTTTCAGCGAAGATTTTAGGGCATTAACGCCCAAATCTGCCGGTGTAGATGCTACATTGTTGTTGTTGTGTTGCAACCTAGCGCCGCCATCTTGTGGCAATAGTTCTTCACTATTCGAACGCTGTAATTTGCGATCCTGTATTGTGGACGAGGTGCTGTCGAGGCGTTCCTTACGTTTACGGGATTTCTGCCATTCTAGGGGGTTAATGATTTCCGGTAGATAGGTGGAATTGAAGTGAGAATGCTGTTCGGCATATTGGTGGTGGTGTTGTTGTTGGTGAGTGTGTTGTGTATTTTTATTGTTCTCCAAATGTTCCGAGGGTATTGTGGCAACATTGTGGTGGTGATGATGATGGTGGTGATGCTGCTTGCTTGGTGAATGATGTTTTTTACTTTTGTTGATATGTTTGCATTCTTCGGGAGTATTGGCACCGGATGACGATGCCGATGATGATGACGACGAAGACGACGACGACGATGATGCTGAGGACGAAGACGAGGAAGAAGAGGATGTGGAATTACAATTATTACTACGACAAGATGCTGACGAAGATGATGAACCGGTAAGACGACTTAGGTCGTCTTCACTTAGTCCAGTGTTAGGATGGCGCATGCCGCACTGTAGAAGAGAAAACAAATAGACAAATTGCAATTAATAAAACTATAAACAAATTGAAAAATAAAAATTAAATAATTTAAAATATGTTCAAAATAAAATGCATTTAAAATTAAAAATAATCATACGCAAGTGTGGTTGCTTATATGGAATTATTATGTTATTCATACGCCTAGGTGTCTTGCTATTAAAATTAGTTATACGCCCCAGAGACAAAGAGACGCAAGAATGGCTGGTTATAAAGACTTATTATGTTATTCATACGCCCAGGTGTCTTGATATTAAAATTAGTTATACGCCCCAAGAGACAAAATGAAATTTTCAAAGCTAACATAAAAGAGGATTTTTATAAATATTTTTCAGAACATAAATCTATAAACAAATAGTTTTCAAGGTTAATTTTTGGATTGGATTTTTGAAAAATTTTCAAGGCCTGTTATGGGCATGGCATTATTTAATATATTTTTTAAGCCCTTTTTTAGATGTGGATTTTTTTTAATAATTGGGTTTTTAAAGAATATTTTTAATCAGCTTTCCTATGCGATTTCCGGGCCTTTCTAAACACCCTCAAAAATTTTCAAAAAAAGAAAAATCTTCTCTAAAAAGCATCTGTTTTTACTGAATGATTTTTCTTAATTGCCATGACGTGAATAAAAAAAAAACTGTCCATTATAATTTATTGCGGAATAGTTGCAAATTTCGTATTGCCTTTAGCACAGCAACTTATTAGCCAGACTATTAATACCCAGAATACAAACATTTATTATTACATGAATAGTGTTTTCTTTATTATAGGCTGCTGCTGTTAGCTTTCAAATACAAATTTAATTATTATTAAAAAAAATACGGATTCAAAATGAAATATCATGAGAGACCACCCTCAGTTCAATTTTACATTTCATGACAAATTACGAATAGGAGACGTATGATTAATGCCGCAGACAACTGGTGTTCTGGTGCAAATAGTAATCGAACAAATAACATATTATTGATTACACAGATGTTGAAGACAATTTTTACAAATGTCATGAGTAAAATATAAATAGTAGAAAAAAATCATATAACCGGAAGAAATAGAAATTTTCAAGAAAAAACTCTTTTTGAAAAAAAAATGTCAACTTGAAAACATGTATATATATGTATATATGTATATATATATATATATATTATATATATATATATATATATATATATCGTCATTCAAGTCTCAATTTAATACGTTGTGCAAAAATTCGGGTTAATCGGACAAACATTAGGAGTTTGGTGCACCATTTAGGTAAAATCCGACGACAATATATGTATATGTGAGGCTATATTGAAATCTGAATTCCAAAATTTGCCACACATCATTCCAAACTCAATTTAGTAGGCTATGCCAAATTTTGTGCAAATCGAAAGACATATAGGTACTTTGGTGCACCATTTACCTTAAATCGGACGAAAATATATATGGGAGCTATATCTAAATCCGAACCGATTTTCATGAAACTTAACACATATCATTCTCGACTTAATTCAGTACGCTATGCCAAATTTCGTGCAAATCGAATGGTATATAGGGACTTTAGTGCACCATTTACATTAAATCGGACGAAAATATATATGGAAGCTATATCTAAATCGGAATCGATTTTCACGAAACCTAACACACACACAATTTACCTATGCCAAATTTCGTGCAACGAAAATATATATGGTGCACCTATTAAATCAGACAAATTATATATGGGAGCTATGAACCGATTTTCAGGAAACTTAACACACATAATTCTAGGCCTAATTCATTATGCTATGCCAAATTTTGTGCAAATCGAAAGATATATAATTTTGGTGCACCATTTACATTAAATCGAACGAAAATATATATGGGAGCTATATCTAAATCGGAATCGATTTTCACGAAACTTAGCACACACCATTCTAGACTCAATTAAATACGCTGTGCCAATTTTCGTGGAAATCAAAAAATATATAGGGACTTTGGTGCACCATTTACGTTAAATCGGACGAAAATATATATGGGAGCTATATCTAAATCTGAACCGATTTTCAAGAAATGTAACACACACCATTCTAGACCTAATTCATTACGTTGTGCCAAATTTCGTGGAAATCGAAAGATATAGAGGTACTTTGGTGCACCATTTACATTAAATCGGACGAAAATATATATGGGAGCTATATCTAAATCGGAATCGATTTTCACGAAACTTGACACACATCATTTTAGACTTAATTCATTAAGCTGTGCCAAATTTCGTGTAAATAGAACGGTATATAGGAACTTTGCTGCACCATTTACCTTAAATCGGACGAAATTATATATGAGAGCTATATCTAAATCTGAAGCGATTTTTCCCAATTTCAATACGGTTTGTCCTTGGACCAAATAAGTGACCTATGCCAAATTTCATCCAAATCGGATCATAAATGCGACCTGTACTTTGTTCACAAAAATACATGGACAGACAGACGGACGGACGGACATGCATAAATCGACTTAAGACGTGATTCTATGCATATTCTCAAAAGGAACCATGTGTCTATCTCGTTTCCTTTTGCCTGTTACAAACATATGCACAAAGAAATAATACCCTGTACCACAGTGTGTTGAAGGGTATAAAAAATGTCTTCGAAAAAATATTCTTCACAATCCAGGTTCCAAAAAAAAATTACTCTTAAAAATCCAGGCCTTGAAAAAATATACCAAGTCTTCGAAAAAAATTTATTTTTTTAAATACACGATTTGAAAAAGGATTCTGTCTTGGAAACAATTATTCTTAAAAATCTACTTCTTGCAAAAATAGTCAAATTGTTCTCAAAAATCCTGAATCCTTAAATCAAATAGATATTTCGCCTGAGTCCAATGGAATACCTTCATACCCCCTCGCTCCCAGCGATCGTTTAAATCTTTAATAATATTACCACATTATTTAATTTTTTGCAACTATTACAGCATCGCATCAGTTAAGACTTCATATTTTCTAACGTCTCCAATTACGAAATTTTTCCACAACAATTAAATAATTATTTTATTTGTTACACAATACTTTTTTCGAATGGCACATAGCCGATTTAATTTAGAATTCTACAACTCATATAAGATCAAATCATAGTTGCTAATCATTACTGGACAATTATTTTTGCAAAAAACAAACACAATAAAATTCTACAAATTGTAAATAAAAAACAGTGCGTGTTGCTCGATATATTCCGCAATATCACAAAACAAAACTCAAAAGTAACACAAACAATCGGCCACTTTAAAATTCCGCAACAATTCATTTTCAAGACATTCAATTAATGTCCATTAAATTGAAGTGAAAAAAATGATAACATTTCATTTGTTTTTTTTACAAATGTTTCATATCGTCATTTGGTTTCAATGTATGTATTGTCGTCCTCACCGCCGTGGTGTGTTCCAGTTCTAAAACAAAATTCTCATTAAGATAAGGATAAGGTAAAATTGTGGCCAGATAAAAAACAAACTCGATAAATCATGCCTGAGCCTTATGGAAATTAAGTCGATCATTTTTCCACAAACAAAAAGCTAAATTTAATTGCGTTTAATATAAAATGATTGAGATTAGATTGAGGTCCATCAACTGGGTCGAAAGTCAGTCCCCAAAAAATTATCCAGTTTTTCTATAATTAACATTATGATCGATCCGGTTTATATTGACTGCGCAAATTATAGAATGATTCGATAAATTTTATTGCAGATATTTTTGGAACTTCTTTTATCCAAAAATAGTTAATTGCTCCATAATTAGAGCAAAAATAATAATAAAACGATCCATGGTCATTGGGTCGTATAAGTAATATTAATTTAGAGTACATCATAAGGTATACGTTATATATTACTTATACGTAATAAACTGAACATTTTAATTGTCTTGCGATATTTTCTGCTGAATTATGAGCGGAATATTTTTGGAGAAAGAAATTGTTGTCTCTAAGGCGAATTTGAATGATTTTTAGTTAAGTCACTGAAAATTGGAGGTTGCACCGGCATTTAGTAGAGAACATAAGATGCAGAGTTCATCTAGAGGAATATTAATATTATAGAGTGTAATTAAGTTAAAGGTGTTTTTAGGTCTTCTTTCATCCAAAAATAGTTAATTGCTCTACAAATTAAAAAAAAATAAATAAAACGATCTACGGCCATTATGTCGTATAATTAATATTAATTTAGAGTACATCATAAGGTATACGTTATATATCAATTATACGTAATAAATCGAATGTTGAATAATGAGTGGAATATTTTTGGACGCAGAATTTTTTCTCTAAGACCATGCTATGAATTTGAATGGCCTATATAGGGAATTTTTTGAATCGGCTATATAAGGCTAGGTAATACCAACTACATGCAACAAATTTCTGACGCAGAATTTTTCTCTAAGGCCATACAATAAATTTGAAAGACGATTTTTTATCATTTTATGTAGTATTATTTTTTTTTTATAATTAATATAAAGGCCCGGTAATATCAACTAAATATAACAAATATATGATCTTTTCTACCTGCAAAACTCCTGTAAAGGTTGTTGCCTCAAATATAAGACCACTAGAAGATCTCATTACTGTAAATGCCCAGAGATACCTCCTTTCTACAGACAAGAAGAAGAAAAATCTCTTAGCTATATAAGGTAATAGGAAGATCTATAACATTATTTATTTATGGAAGACATCAAGATATCGAAGTTCGGCAAAACGATATTCATTATTAGAAGAGCTTTTTTGTAGAATAATTTCCAGTTTAAATACGATAAGCCGAGAATGCCTTCTACAGAAATATTATTAGCGATCTTCCATCGATATAAAACCCCTGGAGAAGCTTATTATTTTATATGTTTTTACAGAAAGCCTAAAGAGATGTTCCTCGAAATGTTTTCAATCATTAGAAAACATTTTTGTAGAATAATTTTCTTGGTCAATTTAATGATGCCTTCCATTTGCAAAACTCCTGTGAAACCCGTTATATTTCTGTCTTTTAATAGGACATTCTAGGCTCACTCATGACCCCTCCAGGAGGATGGTATGTTCAGGTAAACTAAGATGAGAGACATTTTACTATATAATGACCTCCCGTCCCCTAGAAACTAACCCAAACCTCTTTTAGAGTCTGATTTTTTCTTAAAAATTCAACCCTGAAAAATATCGTTTTTAAAATTAACCTTTTTTGGGGCCTTAAAAAAATTTTGTTCTTGAAAAAAATCGACGCCACCTTTGGGACCTGACAATTTTATCTTCAAAAAATCCACGCCATTTTTGGAGCCTGAAATTTTTTTCTCGAAAAAATCCACGTCATTTTTGGAGCCTCCTTTGGAGCCTGAAATTTTTTTCTCGAAAAAATCTACTCCATTTTTGGAGCCTCCTTTGGGGCCTGAAATTTTTTTCTTGAAAAAATCCACGTCTCCTTTGGGGCCTGAAATTTTTTTCTTGAAAAATCCACGCCTCCTTTGGAGCCTGAAATTTTTTCTTGAAAAATTCACGCCATTTTTGGAGCCTAAAATTTTTCCATGAAAAAACCACGCCATTTTTGGAGCCTCCTTTGGAAATTTTTTTCTTGAAAAAATCCACGCCTTTTTTAGAAACTGATTTTTTTTAAAATCCACGCTTTTTTTAAAACCTGAAATTTTTTTCTTTAAAAAATCCACGTCTCCTTTGGGGCCTGAAATTTTTTTCTTGAAAAATCCACGCCTATTTTGGAGCCTGAAATGTTTTTTCGTGAAAAATCTACGCCTTTTTTAGAAGCTGAAATTTCTTTCTTGAAAAAATCCACGCCTTTTTTAGAACCTGAATTTTTTTTTTCTTCAAAAAATCTACGCTTTTTTTAAAACCTGAAATTTTTTTCTTTAAAAAATCCACGCCTTTTTTAGAACCTGAATTTTTTTGTTCTTTAAAAAATCCACGAAAATCCACCCCTCTTGAAAAAAATTCTATACAAAAATCCGAGCCTTCTTCGGAACCTGAAACATATTCTTTAAAAATAACTCACTATTTTAGAGCCTGAAAAATATTCTTTAAAAAATCCACGCCTCTTTAAAGCCTGAAAAATATTCTTTAAAAATCCTTGCCTCTTTTAGAGCCTGCAAAATATTCTTTCAAAAAATCACTCCCCTTTTAGACCCTGAAAAAATTATCTTTAAAAATTCACGACTCTTTTAGAGTCCAGAAAAATATTCTCTTAAAAATCCACGCGTAAAAAAAATTCTTTAAAAATTCGCTCTTATATCCCTTCAGGTCATTTATATATCCCTCAAGGAACCTACAATGAGAGACCTTGAAAAAAATATGAAAATTGTTGTCAGTAGTCAGTAGTATCCTCATCAGGTGACAAATATACCCTTCAGATTCCCTACAGTCATTTTCTTATTACTTAGTATTTTTTATTAAAAATATATATTTTTTGTTAATAGTATTATTTTTAAATATTTAAAAATATAAAAGCATACCAAAAAATAACTTATTATCCTTGGTGTCATTGCAGTTTCGGGTTGGTGCAGTTTGTTAGTAATTAGTGTAAGGATTTTTTTGTTTCGGTTTTTTGGTGGATATCACAGTGGTATTAGTAACTTCAATATATACAAGTTTTTGTATATTAATTTTTAATAATATTTTTTTGTTATTTTTTTTTTCAAACAAAAACATGCACGGAAATTTTTTTAAAAATTATGGGTTCTTTGTTTTATAACTTTTTTTGTCAATATCAAGTCAATGATTTTCTTTTATTTATTTTTTTTATTGGACACTGTCAATTTTAATAAAAAAAACTGCTTCTTTTTTTGATTCACATTCACTTGCAATTGAATTTAATTAAATTCAATTAAAAAATATTTAACATGCATTTATAACTTATGTAAAGATTTGTTTTTTAATTTGTTATTTTAGAAAGATATTTTTTTTTTTAATTTTCCTTTTAAATTTATATTTTAATTTTTTTAATAAATTTTTAGTTTTTGGTTTAAATATTTGGTTAGTATTTTTTGTGGTTTTAGTTTTGAGAATTTTTTCATTAACAATATTTTACCATTAACAGCATGATTTATATTCTGAAGTCTTTTTTTCTTGTCTTTTAAAGAAAAAGTTAGATTTTTGAAATTTATTTTATTAAAATTTCTTATGTCTTTTTTAGGAAAATTTTATTTTTTTAATTTAATTTATTTTTTTATTAATTTAAAAATGTTATTATATTTCAGCCTTTAATTTAATTCAATTTATTTTGATTTAGGCGGTTTAATTTATTATTTTCTTTTTATTTCACTTCTTTGCTCTTTCAACTTGCCACAGTGCTCCTCACTGTGCAAAATCTAAAACACAAATAATTATATTTTCTCCCAGTCAAGGCAAAATATATGCAAAAAAATGATCCGACCAGTCGGCCATCCATCCCTCTGCAGCTACCGGTCTCCCGAACTGTTTTTCTTTCTTTTATGCGCCTGCCTACGGCAAAACAAAAAGACGATCGTCACAAGATAACAGGAAAGCACAGTAAATCAGTATTGACACACACACATGGCTATACCCAACACAACATTTTACATTGACATTTAACACTTGTCATTGGAAATGAACTAGTGACAGTAGTAAGTCAGTAGAGATATAGACACACGAACACACAAGTAAGTCAATAGTTTGTATATATAACTAAAGGTCACATATGTCACTTGTAAATTTTTTATAATTTCTTTTGCTCAAAAAATTTTTCACCAATTAATTAATTCCATTAATAACTTTAAACTCGCGTTTTTAACAAAATAATTGCCGCCAACATATTTATAATTTTGTTGGTTGTTAACATAACAAATGCTTCTTCTTATTACATGATATGTAGACAAGTTGTAGAAAATATGGAGACATGTCGCCACAATAGTAGACAAAGGCGATACAACACCCCACATTTCCTTCAGGGTAATAGAGCACACTAGTGGGACACACAGAGAGACACACACACAGGGCAAACACAGCACCCACTGCAATGAGAGCACGAACACACAAGAAACTTCTCCAAACGACCAACGAAAGGTTCTCTCTCGTTTTATTGTTTACCTACAACAACAATGCGACATTTTGTTTGGCCTCTTTATAGCTCGCTCCGTTAGATTCCCTTTCTCTCTCTCTCTGGGCAAATGTTTGTTTTGTTCTTGTTTGTTTGGATGCTACCTGTTCAAATGCTCTTCATGAAATATGTGTGCATGCAAAGCAGGCAGCCAGTCAGCCAGCCGGTCTCACCAACCTTTTGACCATGTTCGTTTTTGTCTTCGTCTTGTTATTTACACATGCATGGTAATTTGTAAACAAAACTTCGTTTCGCTCGTTCGTTTCGTTTATGTTCTGTTCGTGTGCGTGTGTGTTAGGAAATGTTACAGTAAACATTGACATGGTCACCAATACTGTTGTACTATACCCAACACAATGCATTTTACTATTGACATTTAACATGTGCTTGTCATTGGAAATGAACTAGTGACTTGGTCAGTAGTAAGTCAGTAGTTTTTAGATATAGACACATCGCATATGTGGACACGGTCAGTAGTAAGTCAATAGTTTGTATATATAGACTAAAGGTCACATATGTCACTTGTAAATTTTTTATAATTTCTTTTGCTCAAAAAATTTTTCACCAATTAATTAATTAATTTAATTATTACCATTAATAACTTTAAACTCGCGTTTTTAACAAAATATCTGTCTATTGCCGCCAACATATTAATTAAAGAAAAAAAGAAGAAGCATAACCATGCTCAGTTGGTTGTTAACATAACAAATGCTTCTTCTTATTACATGATATGTAGACAAGTTGTAGAAAATATGGAGACATGTCGCCACAATAGTAGACAAAGGCGATACAACACCCCACATTTCCTTCAGGGTACAGATTTTGTTGTTGTTTCAATGCCTTTGATTTGTTTACACAGATTTCTAACAGCAACAACAACGCCAACAAAGAAGGCCTGAGACACAGTGGTCTGAGATTAAACAAAAATGCATGTTTTCCTCATTGTAATTGAAAGTTGTGTGGAATTTTCCATAGGCTCAGAATGAGAAGGCAGGTACACGCACGGCCAATAATCAATTATCAGAGGTTTTATTCTATTTTTTTCGAATGACAAATTTTTAAAGGCAAACAAAAGCATGTCTTACTTCGTATAAAAATAGAATATCTTTTATTTTTAATTAAAAATAGGTAGAGAAAAAACACAAAGTATATTTTTGCTGTTGTCGTTGTTGCTTTCCTTTGTTTGAACAACTGCATGGATAATTAAGAGAGTTATGGAATGACAAAATATATAATTAACATTGATGGGCATCCCGATATTTTTTATTTATTTTTGACAAATTTGGACATGTACAAAAATTCCCAGGGGTCATTGGCTTATAATATGAGTCATGTAAATTATATTATTGAATTATTTACAGAAAAATAAGGCCAGACTTCTGATAGAGCCTGAAAAAATATTCTTTAATAAATTCACATCTCCTTTAGAGCTTCAGAAAGTACTCTTAAAAAACCAGACCTAATTTAGAGCCTGAAAAAATATTCTTTAAAAAATCCAGGCCTAATTTAGAGCCTGGGTGCCGTAGGGGATGATAGATACCAAGCAACGGCTCTGTTTGGCATTAACTTGGCGAAGACCAGATTTATCTTGGTCCCTCTTTCATCTCAATTGTGGACACTGACCTCCCCGCGGTGCCACCTGGGGAGCTATTTTCAGAATTTTACGAGCGCCTAGAAACAGCATATGACCGTTGCCCTGGCCATGACATTAAAATTCTGCTAGGAGATTTTAATGCAAAAATCGGAAGGGAATATATTTTTGGCCCCACCGTCGGAAAATTCAACCTCCATGGAGAAACATCAGACAACGGCATGAGGTTGATTGACTTCGCGACATCAAAAAAAAAAAAAAATGGCAATTAGCAGCACCAGATTCAAGCATCTCGGTATACACAAGGCCACTTGAATTTCTCCCGATAGAACAACGAGAAATCAAATTGATCATGTTGTGATGATAGACGTAAGGCATTCATCTAGTGTTTTAGACGTCCGATCGATGCGAGGAGCGAATATCGATTCGGACCATTACCTTGTGGCAACCAAGGTACGCAACCGCTTTAATGTAGCAGCAAATGTGCGATCTAATGTAATACGGAAATTTGACGTCGAAAAGCTGCAAACACAACAGATAGCAGAAGCCTACTCCGCTAAACTTACCCAACTGCTTGACGAAAGCACCCATGGTCCCGATAATAATATAGAAGCACAATGGCAGAGAATTGCCCACTGCCTACAAACTGCAGCAAAACCAACACTTGAGTACCAAAAACCACCATCAAGAAATTCGTGGTACGATCAGGAGTGTCGTAATGCTACTGATATGAAAAACGCAGCGTATATGGCAACCCTGCGGACAGTAGCAACTCGTAATGCGATGGAGAACTATCGGAAAAATGGAAAACTATCCAAAAAGGAAGAAAGAGCAAGAAAAACGTGACCGTGAGCAAATCGAGATGTACTGGAGTCAGAATGAAGTCCGAAAATTCTAACAACATTCTAACAATCAATCGGCTGAAGAATAATAAAGCAGCACACATGGATTACAAGGAACTACCTGGTGGTCAGATACAAACAACGTGATTAGTACAATTTGCCTAGAAGAATGCATGCAATTTTGAAAAACTCCTGTGTATCAAAAAGTAGCGGTATGTGCCAACCCCAGAACCAATAATAGATGTCGCATATAAAGTGCTATCCAGCGTACTGTATGAAGATGAAGCCAATGGTCAATGACATTAGCAATCAAAGCGGCTTCAGAAGCAAATCCACCATGAACATTTTCAGCAGGTGACACATTCCACCTAGGTTACCAGGCCGAACTATTAAAGCCATGTCTGGTGGTCAAATGCTGGTCAGGATAAGAATGACACAAGGTGAGCAGTTAAAGTCGGAAAGGACCTTTTTAACATCCTGCTGGAAAAGGTCATACGAGGGGCAAAAGTGGACAGAAATAGCACTCTGTACATCAAACAACACATGTTACTCGGCTACGCCGATGACATCGACATAATGGGTCGAACACTGAGATCGGCAACAGCCACCTTTAAACAAATTAAAAAGAAGTCTGCCAAAGTGGATCTGGCAGTAAGTGGCGAGAAGACCAAACTGATGGTATCAACGCGCAAGACGCCCAGTAGACTCGGACCAACTGTGGAACTTGAAAACTACAGCACAAAGATTTTGTATACCCTTGTAGCGCCATAAACAAAAGTATTGACATCAGTTTTGAAATTCGGAGAAGGATAGTGATGGCCAACAGATGCTACCAATGTCTGAGCAAACAACTTAAAAGCAAGGCCACCTCCCGCCAGATCAAACTCACACTCTACAAGTCACTGATACTATCCGTGCTGTTATATGGATCTGAAGCATGGGTACTTACGCAAGCAGATGAGGCAGCTCTTGGAGTGTATGAGAGAAAAATTCTCCGAATGATCT